GATATGTGTTCATCCTATTTCGTTTAATATGATGGCTGACTGGTAGTCGAATTTTCCTAAAATCTTATGAGTAGAGTTGATGCTTCCACTGAATTTCACATAGCCTTTTTTCCCACAAGGTATTCCCATCCAGGCATCTGAGTCCCACTGAAGCTGTTGATAAGACCTGGGCGTGGTTGAAGGTGCAGTTGAGTCAAGTCGGGATGAGAATAGCTTTAAAGAAGCAAGGCTATGTGAAAGTTAAGTAAAAAATAAAGTCTACTCAATTCCTTTATCTCCCTAAACAAAATAGGGTTAATAAGAGATGTATTCACGCTATGACCCCTAAGTAGTTAGTAAGTGAGTATAATTATCTATTTTTCGCATTTAAGTATTGTTTCGAGACTACCAGTAAATCAGTAATATGAGAGGTATTCACCCAATTTCGTTTAAGCTGATGAAGGACTGGTAGAAGAACAATTTTTCCACAATGATATGACTTGAGCTGACGTTTCCATTCAATTTCACATAGCCAACTTGCTTTCCCAAAAGTTGTTCGCATTCCGGCTGAAGTGGACTGCAGTTTCGACCTTGCATCGGTCTTATCAACACCCTCAGCGGGATTCGAACCAATACAGTGCAGGATGAGAGCTTGTCACGCCAACCGTTCGACTACACTGCCACGAGGGCAAATGTGAATTTTCAAGGAAGGCCATGCCTTTTTGCCATATCATATTCTTTTGGTGGAATTGTCGATGAAGCAAACGTATATCTGCTATAACAATCGATTACTATACTTTATTTATTGAATTAAGTATTGTTTTCGTGACTATCAGTAATATGACATGTATTCACCCAATTTAGGACTGGTAGAAGAAGAATCTTCCCACAACGAAATGAGTTGATCTGACGTTTCCATTGAATTTCACATAGGCTTGCTTTCCCAAAAGTTGAACTACCAGTCCTTCATGACCTTAAACAAAATTGGGTGAATACATCTCATATTACTGATTTACTGGTAGTCACGAAAACAATACTTAA